CGCCCGCCCGCTCTTTGCAGCGCCAGCCCCGAGCTGCCCACGCGCTTCCTCTTCGCCTCACACGGTCGAGCCGGGGCTGCCGGGCGGCAAAGGGCGCCTTCTCTGTGACGGCTCTGCCGCTGCCCAACCCTGCGCGCCTTCCTCTGCTCGCTGCTCCTGCTGTTGGCTCGGCCGCCTTTCTGGGGAGCGAGGAGCCTTATTTATTGATTTGGCAGCTGTGCTCCACCTTCTCCCGACACACACATACGCACACAACTGCACAGCAGCAACGGAGCGACTTAGGCGGCGGCGGCGGCGGCATCAGCATCAGGGAGAAAAACTCTCGGAGCCAAATCTGCAGCAGAAAGGAGTTGCCGGCCCCTCCCGCGCCCCATCGCCGAGGTCAGCGCACTGCCTATGCCCGGCTGGGCTTTAGCCGAGGGGGAAAGGCGAACCCCTCCGACGGACCTCGCTCCCCTCCAGCACGGCTCGTTTCTTGCGACTTGGATCTGGCCAGAGAAGCCGTGCGCCAGACCGAGGCTGGCGGGGAGTAATTCAGTGGCATCGGACTAAAAACATGTGGTGCTGCCGCCGCGCTCCGCGCACACACGGGACAACTTTGACGCTTCCAGATGGTCAAGCTGGCGAGCTTCTCTCTTCTTAAAGGCGCCGACGCGCGGAGTGAGCCGCCCCCCGGGCGGGGGAAGGCGGGATTCGTGGCAGCCGCCGGCTGACGGGACGCGAATAAAGAGAGCAGTTGCCGCTGGCCGCTAGGGGGCGCTTTCCGGCTCCCCGAGAAGCGGCGGCCAACAGTTAATCAAGATTCTGTCCTTCTAATGAGGGCCGGCCTGCGGCCAGAAAATTTCTCTCACGGGATGTTTCCAAAGTGAGAAATTAACCGACTTCCAGGCATACATTTTGGTAGCTTCGGGCCTCTGCCTGCTGTGATGGGCACTTTCTTGGTATCCAAAAGGGTTCAGATATTCTCCCCACAAAGTCTGGGCCAATAGTTTCCAGTTATCATGCTATAAAATACCTATGCCCTGGATCTTTCAAAACAGCAGCTGGAAATATTTTAGCATCAGCAGATTACTTCCAAACCAAAATTCAAGGACTTCACCAATCCATACTCTCAACAGAGACTCGGGTTATAATTAGGGAGGGGGAGAGAGAGATGACCCAACCCATTTCACCATTGGAAAGAGCTTTGTTACATTTCAGTGAGCAGGTGAGAATCCATTTTTCTGCTTTCCAGGACCAGTTTTATGGAGGCTTTATCAAGCTTGGGAAACAAAGCACTTTCCCACAGGAGCATTCTCCTGATGACCACAACACTCACAACATTACACCAACCAGGACAGCTAATGAGTCAAGCAGAGTGCCTCATTCCAAATTAAAAGGGTGCCCCTACTCCCACTTATATGCATGCAATTATATATGCCAGTAGTTTCAGTAAAACTAAAACCACGCAGTCATGAAAACATATACTCAAAAGCCAGAGGGAAAAAAAGTGTTTACATGCTAAACATCAAAAGACATGATATAAACGAACTTCATTAATTAGGCCAGGGACAGAAATATCCCTACTTGCATTCCAGCAACCCCTGTTGTTGTTTTGTTGTTGTTTAGTCATTTAGTCATGTCCAACTCTTTGTGACCCTATGGACCAGAGCACGCCAGGCCCTCCTATCTTCCACTGCCTCCCAGAGTTGGGTCAAATTCATGTTGGTTGCTTCAGTGACACTGTCCAACCATCTCATCCTCTGTCATCCCCTTCTGTTCTTGCCTTCACACTTTCCTAACATCAAGGTCTTTTCCAAGAAATCTTCTCTTCTTATGTGATGGCCAAAGTATTGGAGCCTCAGCTTCAGGATCTGTCCTTCCAGTGAGCACTCAGGGTTGATTTCTTTCAGAATTCATAGGTTTGTTCTCCTTGCAGTCCAGGGGACTCTCAAGACCCTCCTCCAGCACCACAATTCAAAAGCATCACTTCTTCGGTGGTAAGCTTTCTTTATGGTCCAGCTCTCATTTCCAAACATCGCTACAGGAAAATCCATAGCTTTGACTATTCGGACTTTTGTTGGCAAGATGATGTCTCTGCTTTTTAAGATGCTATCGAGGTTTGTCATTGCTTTCCTCCCAAGAAGCAGGCGTCTTTTAATTTCATGCCTGCTGTCACCATCTGCAGTGATCATGGAGCCCAGGAAAGTAAAATCTGTCACTACCTCCATATCTTCCCCTTCAATTTCCCAGGAGGTGATGGGACCAGTGGCCATGATCTTAGTTTTTTTGATGTTGAGCTTCAGACTGGGTTTTTTGCGCTCTCCTCTTTCACCCTCATTACAAGGTTCTTTAATTCCTCCTCACTTTCTGCCATCAGAGTGGTATCATCTGCATATCTGAAGTTGTTGATATTTCTTCTGGCAATCTTAATTCTAGTTTGGGATTCCTCCAATCCAGCCTTTTGCATGATGTATTTGCATATAAGTTAAATAAGCCGGGGGACAATATACAGCCTTGTCGTACTCCTTTCCCAATTTTGAACCAATCAATTGTTCCATATCCAATTCTAACTGTTGCTTCCTGTCCCACATATAGGTTTCTCAGGAGATAGATAAGGTGATCAGGCACTCCCATTTTTTAAGGACTTGCTATAGTTTGCTGTGGTCCACACAGTCAAAGGCTTTTGCAAGTCAATGAAGCAGAAGTAGATGTTTTTCTGGAACTCTCTGGCTTTCTCCATAATCCAGCGCATGTTAGCAATTTGTTCTCTAGTTCCTCTGCCCCTTTGGAATCCAGCTTGTACTTCTGGGATTTATCGGTCCACATACTGCTGAACCCTGCCTTGGAGGATTTTGAGCATAACCTTGCTAGCGTGTGACATGAGTGCAATTATGCGATAGTTGGAGCATTCTTTGGCACTGCCCTTCTTTGGAATTGGGATGTAGACTGATCTTTTCCAATCCTGTGGCCACTGCTGAGGTTTCCAAACTTGCTGGCATATTGAATGTAGCACCAACAACCACTACACCCATTTAAAACAAAAATTAAAAAATCCCTGTAACATCCCTTGTGCCCTTCTTGAGGATAGGGGCCAAATTTCCCATATTCTCCTTGTATTCCTGCCCCATTCCAGAAGTAGCCTTTTTTAAAAAGTTGCCACTAGAAGGTTGCAGTAAACTGAAATATTTTTTAAAGAAAACGATTTTGGGAGTGTGAGGGGCTAACCCTGGCTCACCAAGGTCAAGGAAAGCATATATGTAGTTTTTGGAACTGTGGATGTTACTCATCTCTACTCTGAATCTTGTTTAATTCTCTTTATAGTATGTATTATTTTATTTTATTCATTACATTTATACCCTGCCTGTCCAGTACCAAGGTACTATTCTGGGCAGCTCACAGCATTTAAAAACAAAGCCCAGCTGCCCATACTCACTCATATAGTATAAATAGTGAGATTCAACAAAAATATTAAATACCAAATATCTAAGAGAGAGAGAGAGAGAGAGAGAGAGAGAGAGAGAGAACTGTACTGTCTTATGTATACTCAGAAGGGAAACAATATATTGAATGTGGCTTGCTACCAAGCAAATGTGTGCTGGATTTCAGCTTCAGTCATGCTTTCCATTAGAGCAGTACAAATTGGGTTAGAAGCTTCTTTAGCTTCTTCCAACCTGGCACCTTCTAGATTTAAACTATGTCTCTTATTATTCTCAGGCAGGTGACAATGGGGGTTATAGTTCATCACCTCTGAAGGGTATGCAATTAGGGAAGCCATGCTAAATGAGTACTTATCTATAAAAGACCTACGGGATTATATACTGTCAGGTTAGAATAGATCAGTCTAACTCACAGCACCTTGTGTACACAAGTGAGAACTACACCTGTAGACTAAATACCCAGTAATGGAGGTGGTGCCATAGGGAGTTACCTGCCTTTCCCCGAACCCTATCTTTTCTGTCCTTCTTACTTAGAGGGTGCAATGCTACTGGCTAGAACTCATGACTTTGGCAGAATGCATTAAAGTCTGTGAGCAGGTAGTTCAACCCCTTTTGCTAACACATTCATGTGTGTTTTGATACGTTCTGCTGTACCTTCTTCTTGTCGAGACTGAAGAAGTTTGACTAAAGACTGTTGGACCACTTTTTTCCAGAACATCTTGGCACAATCTGGGTCAGGGGATAGAAGGAGCATGGATTCATTGGAGAATGTGGAAGAAAGAGAGAAACGAAATCTCCAGCAGAGAGCCTCCTGTTGACAAGTGAATAATATCCATAACAGATTCTATGAACTCTGTTGCCACAGTAGTTTAATATTTCTTCTGTCTGCTGTACTCTCCTGCTTCCAAGACTGGATATTTTGGGGGATCCTAATTCTCTAGGATCTTCAAATGGTTGTTAGTTATTACAGACTGAAAACACATAAAATGACATTAACCAAATTAAAAGGGGGAAAGGAAGAACATTTGTTGCATCTTAAGACTAACAAATTTACCCTATTTGGTTATGTATTAATATATTTTTATCCTATTTTTTAATATTGTTGCTCATGTTGATAGCCATCCAGAGTGGCCAGGTTGCCAGATGGTGCAGGGTATAAATTCAATCAATCAGTCACATAATCAATCAATCAATCAAGGTGTGGATCAAAATTCTGTGGATCAAAATTCACTTCCTTAAAGTAGCTTTTGATCCATGAAAACTCACATTGAAGCAACATTTCACATTTTGTTCTTTGGGTTCCCCCCCTCACTTTTTTCATTTCTCCCCTTCAGTTTGGTGAACATGCTAAAACAAACACAGCCTTTTGCACATATGTTGATTTCTACCACCCTTTCCTTGCATGTTTGATGATTCTTATTCTCCCCTGCTTCATCACAATATTCCCTTCTTCTTCCCTTGATGAATCAGGTGCCCATTAGGGAGGAACAGAGGCTGCAAGCTCTTTTAAGAAAAGAAACATATAGCAGAAAATCTAATCACACCTCTTACCCATAATGTGTAGTTTATCCCTTGATAAAAACACCTTAAAGTCTTGTTTAGAATTTATATGTAGGTTTTAGTCCTAAACATACGTAACTATGTTGAAATAGCAGTGGCAGGAGATTGCACTAGAAAATGGTTCAGGCTAAGGACTAATTTGTCCTTAAAGAGTTTTAGAGAAGCTAACAGATACAATTGCAAGGGTCACTTAAGATACAAAGCTAATTAATATCTCCAAGAGAGCTGCTGCAGCAAACAGAGTTTACAAAGGTTGTGTTGCCTATCAAAAGGTGGAAGAAAATAAGTTTCCTTTCAGGCTGGGTTTGCCACATATTAAAAGGCTTTTATGTTCAGCATGTTCTGTAATCATGGTCTTGCTCCTTTAATAGCCTGGCGTAACTAGCAATCCCGTTTTGTACTTCTGGATGCTCACCCAGAGAATGGTATCTGTGAACTGTTATTTCCAGGAATCTTACTACTACTGTTTCATTGAGTGGTTCAGTTTTATTGGCTGTTTATAACTCAATAAAATTGGCCAAACTCTTTGATTTCTAATTCAGTCTTCTTTATTCAGCCACTCTTGCTAACAAGGTTTATTGAAATTGGTATGTATGTTACATCTGAGCATGAACAACTAATGCAAGTATTTTTTTAAAAAAGGTATTTCCACATTTCAAAGATTAATTTTGAATGGAAACCTTTCATTCACAAAATTTAATTGGGCTCTTAGTGTCTTTCCACTCTTCCAGCTAGTTTTTTTTTCTCCTTGTGCCATGTACATGAAGAATTTCCCATTGCTAGCCTACAATCTTACATTTCCAACAGGTTGAAAATTAAACATTGCAGACCTGTACAACAACACATAGCCTCCTTGTCTGAAAAGGTTACAAATGAAAACTGATAACTGCTCCAGGAAACATAGCAATAACCCTGTGTAAACTATTTTGGTGTTGTATGCCATTAAGTTCTTTTCATATGGTGACCCAAAATGAATTAGTGACGTGCAAACTGTGGTCAGTGCAAATAATCTGAGCATTCCTGGAACCCCACCATGAGCTAGATCTTGGAAAAGTTAACTTGCTTGGACTGGCTAGGGGTCAGAGTTCAAAAAATCAACATTCCCAAGTTCTGACCACCAAATGACTTCCCTAATGCCAGCTTACACAACTTGGACTGCTTGACAAAGACTTTACACCCTGGTCTGGTCTTCATTTTGTGCTGGACATAATGCTGCCTAAGCACACTGGATCCATGATATGGTATGCTCAGAAGCTCTCCTGCAGATACAGAGTGGAAAGCCACATGTAGTTTACATTGAAACAACAATTTAAAATACCATGGGAAGAAACTACCTTCAGCAAGGTTCTCAGCTGAATACGGAAGTTAAGTGATGTCAAATCTTCAAATAATTTTAAAAATATCCTCGAGTGAAATTCAAGGTGATCCAAGTCAGTTATCTAAAAATATGAAATTGTTGCTTTCCTCTATGTAACGCTAATGTCAAGGCAGATGCACTATTTGGCATATTCAGCATCTCATAGAATGGTGGGATGCAGAGTGTGCAAAGTGGCAGAGCCCCATCGATCCATTATTCGTATTTTGTCCACTGTTATGTCACCCTACACCCAGAGGCTCCAGAACTGCAAGAGTTTTTTCCCCCCATTCTTTATCACGAAACAGACTTTGAAAAGAGTTTCTTTCAATTTACGCAACTGCCAGGTCAGAAAAAGTCACCTTTATTTGATTTCAGAGAAGAAGAAAAAGCACCTTTGGAATACACCTTAGTGCCCTTTGCTCAGTCAGTGACTGAATTCCCAATTACTACCAAGTATGACTGCATAGCTGTTTTATCCATTTTTGTTGCAATGATTGCTTTTAAAGTGACCCCTTCTTTGTTCACAGAAGTCACTACTAGTGACATTCATAACCTTCAACACTGTCCTCATGCAGATTGGTAGGGCATTAGGTTGATTTAGGAAGTTGCCACCATTTCACTCCTGTCCAGTGCACCTGCACTCTAGCAGACCCTACCATGCTCAGGCCTCTTTTCCTTAAGATGAAATATTAAGAGAAAATACACTGAGCCTCGTGGCCTCCTCTCAACCTTACTGTATGCCAGCAACACCAGTGGTCCTAGCTCTTTTTACAAATGCCTGCCACTTGCAGCCATCAGATAAAAACATTTAACCAAAGGCTAAAAATGACAGCAAGTAGAGTTGTAGTAATAACTTCAAGGCAGCTGACAATGTGTTTAAAATCAAAAGTTGTCATAATGTCTATAAAGCTTTGGTCTATATCCCAATTTAGCCATGTAAATCTGCTATGGTATTTCCATGCAGGTCTTTAACTGAAAGGTTGTTAAATGGTAAAGTGAGAGCTGGCTCAAAACTGTGAGCACTGACACATCTTAGTGGCCCTAGGAATGCTTTTCAGTGTCTTGGCAGTGCCAGCCCTACTGTTCAGCAGAGTGAGGCAGCTGCCCCAGAGAGGAAAATATGAATGTCAAGAGATGGCAGGAAATTATTGCTTTTTTTTTTAAAAAAAATCATATTTGATTCTGTTTTTATGACTGGGAATACAGAAATTTGCTTAAAACTTGGCGTTTTCCAAATGGAATGTGCCAAAATTAATATTTTATTTTATTTATACCCCGCCTATCTGGTCGGTGAGGACCACTCTAGGTGGCTAACAACAGTAAAATGATACAATAAAAATATAAATAAACAATTCTAATTAATAAAAACACTACAATACATTACATGAAACGCAAAACAAAACAGTAAAGAGGAAAGAGGGAGGTCAAGAGGAATGTGATGGAAAGGCCTGCCCAAACGTCCATGTCTTTTCTGGCTTTGAGGAATATGTGTCTAGATTTAAATTGTGACTGTTTCCTGTGACAACTCACTAAAATATCTTAGGGTAAACGTGATCTGATTGGGTTTTCAAGAAAAGCACCTGGTATGCTGACATGGACAACGTCTGTGCATTGAAAAAATCCAAAGTGTTGACCATAGAGTAATTTTCCATTTCAAGTCTTCCAACTCAACATGGCCTGAAGCTTATTTTCTTCCCACTGGTGCCTCAGGCAGGCTTGATTAACATGAAGCTTCTGTGCAAGGTTCTCCCACTTCAAGGTCAACGTTTGAGGTCTTTTGGAGATGTCAAGAACTGGTTTATGAATGCAACCTGGAAAAAAGACAAGAAAATCAAAAGGGGGAAAGCCCAGTTCTATTTCTAATAAATACTTCATGCAATTCAAATACAGTACTTCAAAATTAGTGAGCCTTTTTTTTTCTAAATTTATAGCAAACCCAACCTTAGACATCAGGGTGAGGTATAATGCAGTATGTACCACTGAGCATCTGGGAATATCCTTCTAATACATGCTTCTTATCCGGATGGAGAAATCACTCCTCAAACATGTCTTTGGCCTCAGGGTAAAAACTGTTTATTCTAGAACTCAACAAACCTTGGTTAGTATAACCTTTAGAAGGACAAAAGAAGCATGCTAGATTTACTTTCTCATCGGCATCTTGATCGGGGGGGGGGAGAGATTATTTACAGACATTGAGAGGTGTATAAAATTAAGGCGCAAAGCAATGGCACAATGGAAGTTATTCACTTGGTGTTTTCCACATCACAGGATAATATCCATCATGACACTCATAGCAAATTATATCCATGACTAAACTCAATCAATTCCTCCAATAATCAGAGTTCCTTTACTCATATGTATTATGAAGACAAAAAACAGACAGGCTTTAAATTGGAGCATAATCCATCACTGGTTTATAGCAGACAAAACCAGTCAACCTGAGCTGGACAACAGATTTCTATTCTTGTAATCTGACTTGCAAGCTGGCTGGATAGCTCAGTGGTTTAAGTATCTAGCTATGGAGCCAGAGATTGAGAGTTTGATTCCCCACTGTACCTCCTGTGAGTAGAGCAAGCTTGTGTTGCCTTGGGCAAGATGTGCAGTCCCAGGGTGCCCCCAGAAGAAGGGAATGGTAAACCACTTACGAATATTCTCTACCTAGACAACTTTGAACAAGGTCACCATAAGTCAGAATTGATTTGATGACACATGATTATTATAAATATAACTTTCAAGCCTAGAACAGTAGCCTAGAATGCTCCATCTATGAAATATATGATCCCACTCCATCACTGGTGACATACCACAAGAAATTTGCCAAGAAAAACAAAATTGATAGCTTGAATTTACCTTAAAATGTTCTATTGCCTGCATTCTGCCATGAACCTCTTCCTGAAGCACAGCTTTTACCCCCACTTCACTGTGATCAGTCTACATCACTGGTTCTTAACCTTGGGTTACTCAGGAGTTTTGGACTGCAACTCCCAGAAGCCTTCACCACCTGCTGTACTGACTGGGGTTTCTGGGAGTTGCAGTTCAAAAGCATCTGAGTAACAAAGGTTAAGAACCACTGGTCTACATGATATGATACGGAGTAAAATAAGCAAAAGAAGATGCAACTGCCCCAAACTGTTCACAACTGAAATGCTGGCAGTGTTCAAAAAATGGAAGGAGAGGGGAGAAATACAATTGAATGAACAGACACCAATGCAGTAATATAAACCAGTAGCAGAGATGGATGAAAATGTTGATGTTTTGTTTTGTTTGATTAAAAAATTCAAAATTTATAAATGTCATAAACAGGATGATAACTATGGTAAAAGCTCACTCAGTCCCCTTCCCCCTTATATTCTCTGTTTGCCATAGACTCTTTTCCTATGGCTAAGCTAACAATGCCTGTAGTCTGCTTGACAGAGACCCAAGATGAGATTATTTGCTTTCACCCTTCATGTCCTACGTTGCTGGGTTGCTGGCAGGCATTCTTGATCTCATTCTTCCTTGTGTCTTGACTGCCCTCAGGTGTCCCAAAGAGACCTACTTTCCCTGATTGGCTGGCCTTATTTCTCCCTAGTCAACCCTGGCCTAAACTCCTGTGTTTAAAAATGGAATGGGCTCTGTCACCATCTTCCTTTCAGTTTGCCTTTTCTGAAATGTATCCCATGATTAGCATCTGCACTTCTCTTGTGGAGGCTATGCGTATATGTACATCTATTGAATTCATAGGCCAGCTACGAGAATTTGTTCCACTCTGGAGCCCCCTGCTGGAATGGTTGGGATCACTCTAAAATATTGGCTACATGACATTCATCTTAGAGCATTCCAACCCCTGCCTAATGAGGACCAATCCATCCCAGATTAGTCTAGAGTTAGAGCCTACTGTTTATTTGGAATGATTAGGATAAATAAACATGGCACTCTCCATTATATTTTGCAGTGGGGGAAAAAAGCATTTTTGTTTACTTTTTTTATTAAAAAATAACTTTCCACGATTGCACTGCATCACAAGTGCTATGACACTTAGCAAAATTTAATTTTAAAAAGAGGAGAAACAGGAGCTTGAAACATGGCACTCTGTACCCTCCCCCTTGGTGTGCATAAAAGCCCAGCATTAATGCCCAACCACAAGCAAACAGAAGCAGGCTGTGTCCCAGTCGGCTGCCAGCTAAAGAGAAGGCAAGAGCAAGAAAGGGAGTGGTACATGGTGACCAAACAGACCAAACAGAGTCATCTAATGCCAACATGTGGTTGACTAGATTCCAAGGACAAGGACTACAGGAGTAATTTCCATGGGAATGAAAGGAGCAATCTAATCAAGCCCCACCATTCCAAAGAGTTCTAAAGCAACTCAGACTAGTTCATTCCCTGTTGCTAATGTAGCCATAGCCTTAGTTAGAACTCTAACACTACTAGTCTTCACCAGAAAAAAACAATGGTCATTTTCTCTCATTTAACTGCCATTTCTCAACTTTACTTAGTATAAATGCACTTTGATTTGAAGGGTGGACTTGACTGTCCGTATTTGCCTAACCACAGGACTGTTTGCACTCATGTGCTTAAACATTTGTTCACACTCCAAGCTTTTAAACTATTATAAGTGGAAAGGTACAGATTGGGTCCTGTCCTGCCCATGTGAAAGAGTGTGATAAAAATACTCCCCCCCCCAACGCTTCTAGAGCAAAGGAAAATGAACAAGGTTATGGTGACTACTCACATATAAGCAATATGCAGGTCACCTTCCAGCCCATTCTACTTCAAAAGATGTTTGTTACAAGGTGTACAATGGAAAATACCTCCCCCAACACACACACACACACACACACACACACACACACACACAAACACACACACACATGTGCAGTGATCTTCAAGGGTTTCTCATTCCTATTTTTTAAAAAAAATTCCAAAGTAAATTGCAAGAAAAAAATATAATCACTAAATACTTTTCTCAATATTTGTCAATATTTCTCACCTGAAAAATATTATTATAAATTAGCTGCTTTAAACCAGTTGTTCAGTAGCCCTGCTTAGATTTTGCTATTAGAATCCTTAAGCTACAGTAACTCAGATGTAAATTTGAAGGGGTAAGTTGAGGTGCCATCCCCGCCAAGCACAGATCACCTCTGGCAATGTACTGGCAGTTCACAGGAAAGGCTGTTTCACTCCTGACTCAGCATTTTGCCTAGCCATTTTCTTGTATTTATCTCTGTTTCTGGATGGCACGTTCCCTTATGATCCTTGGTTGCTTCACCAAGCAAAAGGTGCACACTACGTGTCATTCAGCTGCCACCAGCTGATTACATCAGCACCGTTCACTATTAATGACAGAGGTCCAGGCAACATATCATTTAAAAACCAAGTAGAAATTGTTTATTGTTATAGGTGATAACAGTCCAGTCAATGTCGTTAACTCTCAACTAAAACAACCTTCTTTCTCCACTCTCAACCGCCTACTCTACTCCCCTTCTCTCCCTCCTTTTCCTCCACTTAACTCCACCCCTACCGATTCCTATTGGTGCATGCAAATTTTCATATAAATATTTATGAGCAGGGTGAACACTACACTGGATCTTTGGCTTCTCCTAAATAAACAAAATGGATCCCAGCAACCTGAAGTCTGCCAACCCTGGGATGAATGCATGGGAAAGGGTCAGTTTTGAGGTTGGATGAGAAGAAAGAGAGAGACTAATAATTATTTTATTTTATTTCTTTATTTATTGCATTTATACCGCACCCATCTAGTCAATTGACTACTCTGGGCAGCTTCCAACATATATAATAAAACAATATAAAATATAACAATATTATAGACCTCAATAATCAAATTATTCAAGATGGAAAGAGAAAAGAGAAAGTAAATGAAATAATAACTGAAGGGAAGGTCGGCCTAAACAGCCAGGTTTTCAACTGGCTTTTAAAGATGCCCAGCGAAGGGGCTGCACAGATCTCAGGAGGAAGATTATTACAGAGGCGAGGAGCTACCACCGAGAAGGCCCAGTTTCTGGAATTAGTGACTGGAAATTATAAATTACAAACATAAGCAGAAGTCATGTTTGAGCTATTTCAGAAAATGGGGAAGATTTCAGGTAGAAATCACATGTGAACGGAAATGCCTCTTTCCTGCTATTCTTGTTATTGTTCCTTTCCTACCGGAGGATGGATGTCATCATGACTGTTCAGACTTGGGATCCTGCAGCTGTAGACAATGATATTGTGCTGCATCCAAGCTAGCCGCCCAGGTTTTTCAGTCATTACATGTTTGTCCTTCCCACATTTCTTTTCCTATGTCTTTTACCTTGAATGATCAAGTGCAGCAGCCTGTACTTTTCATTGTCCAATGTGTGACTAAAGTGTTCCAGTCTTCCGCATTTCATGTGTTTTATGATTTTTTTTCTTTATTCCTTTGTCTTAATACTTGTTCATTAGTCTTTGTCTCAGTCCCAGAGATGCTTAGCATCCTCCAATAAATCCATATTCTCTATGCTTCTATCTTTTTAACAGAAGCCTGTGCTAATAATCCATTATTCCATACTATACAGGTAGAATAGTAAACGTTCTATTGTTACATATTTGTTAAATATTATGTTTGCTAAATTGCTACATTTTGGTTAAATATTACATTCTTAAGGCTGCTACTCTGAAGCATCTCTGTTCTGAATTTTATTGCTTGGCTATGATCCTACTGCTTGGGCAAACAAATTTTAAAGTACACAGATTTGTCAACATACTCCACACTTTCCTCTTCAACACATTTCTTCATCTGCTTGTTTTTTTTTTTAATTGATGGCCATGAACCAGGTTTTATTACCACTCC